TCCCAGGCAGGCTCTGCACTGTCAGCACAGAGCCCGATGCGGGCCTGGACCCACAAACCACGAGATCATGACCTGAGCTGTTCAACCGACTCAGCCACCCAGGCACCCCAAGGATAAGGAACTTTGAGAAGTACCACTTAATGAGAAGTTGTAGAAATTATAGGATCATGCTGTTTCTCAAGTACTGGTGTTTCAAGGCTTTTGCCAAAGACTAACTGCATAATAAAAGCATGAAGCCCTGTATTCACTAGCTCTGAACCTCGTGTCTCTATCTCCGGCTGTATGAGCCAGTTGGGTTGTGGCCACATGCTTGCACATCCCCAGTGACATTGAGGCAGCCCTCTCAGGGTGCCCAGCTCTCTACAAGGCTCCATCCAAATGCCCTTGCTTTCCCATCCCCTCCCTAAGATTTTTGGCTGGTCGTCCAAACAGGCTTGTTGAGTACTTAAGTTGTGGGGTGGGTGGTGGGGGGTATAATGGAAGAGAAAGGTGCTGTTTTCATAGATGAGCACAGAACGTACCAGGCGGTGGCATGGTGAATACACTGAGTCAGGAATCAGAAAACCGGAGTTCCAACCCCATTTTGTTACTTGACCTTGATCAAGTTAACCTTTCTAGGCTTTAGTTAACTCACCTATTAAGTGGGAATAATTGTCACTGCCTTGCTTACCTCACAGGCGTTTGTGAGATTCACATGGGATAATTTAGGTGAAAGTGGTGTGAGAGGGATAACAGATGTCACCAGCACATTGTATTTGTTCCATTTTTCCTGGTTAAATGGTGCCATCGGCCATACTCTGGGCAGCTGTTGCCTTGCAATTAGCACCCTCCCTGTCTCAGTTACAGCATGCTGTGACGATCCAGGCGGGCTTCTCCCCTGCTCCCTGCAGTATCTCTTCCCGATCTTAAAGCTGTTCCTCATCCCGGTGAAAAGGCCATGCCTGGAATCTTAGGATCACACAGTGAGGAAATGCCCCTGCATTCTTCCTGCAGAAGGAATTGGTTTCCTTCTTTTTCAAGTTCCTGACAATTGCTCTTGAGCTCAGATTGAAGACCACTCTGTTGTTTTCCTTCTTGTCATTAAAGACGCATCAACATTGGCTTGAGGTTCCAAGCAGAGATCCCAGAACTTCAGGATGTCTCCGCCTTGGCCCGGGACACACACAAGGCCACACTGGTATGGAAGCCCTGGCCAGAGCTGGAAAACCATGACCTCCAGCAAAGAGGTATTGGCCCATGGGAAGAAGTGGGTGGGAAAGGCTTGATCCTCTTGCAGGGGTCTCTGACTCCAGGATCGTTCTGTTTGTCCATGAGACTGAGCTGTCTCTGATGCAGTGACTTCTCATTGTTCCCATCAGTGGAGAATCTCCTGAATTTATGCTGTTCGAGTGCGTTGCCTGGTGGAGGGACCAATTCTGAATTTGCTTTGCACTCTCTCTTCGAGGCCAAAGGTGATGTGATGGTAAGGAACCGTGGAAAGAGGGTTCACAGTTAACATTCTTCGTGTCAGAATTCTGGAAAGTATTTTCCTGAGTTTGTGTTGTCCCACATACCATAAAACCAGTTGCTAAGATCATGACCAGTCAACATGCCACCATGTTCCTTAGCTCGTTGAGTAGGTGAGGACTTAAAGCCTTCGGGGGGGACCTGCGGTTGGACTTCTGCTTAGACATCTGTTCCTAAGTAATAATTATGGTCACATCTGTCTAGAGAAATGAGAATTTCGTTTCAGCAGTCTTATAATTCCCATCAGAAAACTGGCCTCCGGTGATGGGAGGTAGAAAGCCTTACTGAAACAAGACGTGACCTATTATGCCCTGCTGATTCTTCTTCCCTCCTATGGAGTCAGCCAGTTTGGTGTTCATAGAACTGTTTTCTCCCCTAACCAAAGTGAAATGTCGCCTGTGCACCAACTGGTGTCATTCTTCCCCCTTTCGCACAGGTCTTTGGTGTCCCCAAACCAGCACTTTGGTGCCATTTTCCTAGGATCCAGAGCTGTTTGCCTGCTCCCCCACCCCCGGATTCCTGGCAAGAGCACTCCGTCACTAACCTCAGTTTCCCCTTTAGTAAACACAGCGTTTTCGTACCAGATCTAGCCTCCTCCTTCTTGATTTTATGAAAGTGTGCAAGTAAACAAATGTCCCAGTCCTGTCTTCTCTTGAGATTATTGGTAGCCTTCGAGGATTTTCTAGAATGTTAGAGAACTCTCCTTAATCCTTTAAGCTAAGTGTGGCAGTAAAGCACTACTTGAACTTTCCACGTGCACACAAATGACTTGGGTCATCTTGTTAAAATGCAGACTCTTATTCAGCAATTCTCAGGGCAGGGCCCAAGGTTCTGCATTTGTGACCAGCTCCGAGGGGAGATGCCTGTGCTGCTGGTCCACGGACCACACTTAGAGAAGCAAGATTGTAGACCTTGGCTCTGCCCCTAACCCATCTACTGTCCAACTCGATGTGCACCATTTTTTTAAAAAGTC